ATTATAAATAACCGGCGCATATTCCGGTTATTTATTCAGCAGATTCCTATCGTAAAGTTAATTATATATATATTAATGAGCTCGTAATTAACGCTAATATTAATTTTTCTTTTTAAAAATTAAACGATTTAAATTATTTAATAAATTCGCCAGGATGTTATCTTCGTTTTTTTTATTTATTTTATTTGTAAATTTAACTCGGAAGATTCGAAATTTAATTCATAAAATTAGTATTTTACTAACATATTCCCGACCGAAACGGGCTTTCGTCTTTAATATTCTTTGCTGTATAGAATTAATGAATTGTTTGTTTTTTTTTGTATTGTAAAATTTAATAGTTCGGTACCGAATTTTTAACTGTGTATAATTTATTTTTAAGAGTGGAAATGTCGGAAAAAAAAATAGGAATTTTTAAAACATCGTACGAGTTTATTTATAAATATATATTTCTTATTTGTAGAATTGAAAAAGAATTGTCTGGCACTAGATTACGGTGTAGTTTATTCAATATTGACTGCTCATAACATTTCTTTTTTTCTTTAAAAAAACATTTTTATCCATTGGGATTTAGAAGATGTTGGTCTCGTGACATGAATGAAATCGCAAACGGAAGAAACAAATCGTTTGACTTTGTGATTTTTCTAGCGAGGGTCGTTTTCCTCTTCCAGTATTACGTCGACGTCGTACGTAATGCAAGTGAATGAGTTGGTTCCGTTGCCAGCCTGACGTCATTGGTTGTGACGTCACCGCTAAAAGCTCCGACGAGAAAAAGATAACAAAAGTCGATGAATCGTGAGCTGGTTTCCGCGATAGAAAACGATGGGAAAGTTTCCACAAATAGTCTCTCTTCAGTTTTCGTTTTCTCTTACGGAGTTGGTAAATTTTTTTTTTTAGGGAATAAGCAAAGATATAAAAAATATATATATATATATTTAAAATATTTTGATTGATTAACGTAAACGAGAGAATAAATGATTTGTCAATCCCTGCTGTCCTCCATGTTTATCATTTTTAATAAAAATCTTAGGACTATTAGATTCATTTTTGGGCATGTGCCTTTTAACGATTTCCCAGTTCAGATTTCCATCCGCTTGCCAAACAACCAGGCCAAAAGGAAAAAGTTGAATGGAGAAAAAATCAATTTTATTGACAAAATTTACAACGCCTGCATTTTTAGTTTTCCTGTAGGGGATACAGTAATTTGACTTTTTAATATCCTGTTTTAATATTTTTTTTTATATATTTTTTTTTATTCGGTTTAATTAAATATAGAAAAATATAAGAAATTGAATTTTGAATTTATACTTTTTCGTATTCTCTCTCTCTCTCTTCCCTTTTATAAAGAATTTATCAGTAATAAAATTTAAAAAGTTAAATAGTGAAAGTAGTTTGGTCATCGTCCGTTTTTTAAATGGCTGACTCAGCTAAATTCAGCCTTTAAAAAGATGAACTGAGTCATGGCACACGTCACTAGAAATTCGATTAACATCAAGTTTTGAAAAATAAAATTTTTTTTTTTTTTTTTTCACCACCGTAAAAGTCAATTTACCTGTTTTCAATATTTATAATGCCCGACAGTTGTGTTAAATTGGAATTGACCGAAAAACTTACACTGTATTTTCAATTTTAATTACTTCAAGTAGTATGTTTAATATTGTTCTGTCTTATCATATATTGGTTCGCCAACGGACGTATTTTTAAAATTGAATCAATAGAATCGATTTTGGCATACTGAAAATTGCGTTGAATAATGATTGCCATTGTCCTCTCTACGTTATAGATATTGGAGAATGTCCTCTAGGAAAATTCTGAAATATTCATTGCGTGTCGGACATTTTGTTTCATCAAATGAATATTTTAAATTTTAAAGCGCTGAATCACATTTTCTTTATAAGGAAAAAAAAAATATATATATATATAAAACCTTGTTTAATAAAAGTTGGTTTACAATAGTAAAAAAAGTGTGCCGTGTACCGAGTTCTTATTCGTAAGTGATTTTTCCTAAATGTTCATTTATGTATCGAGTTTTTCTTTTTCCTGTATTGGTTGCTATATTATAAATGCTTTTCTCTTATCGATCCATTCTGGCTTACATTTGGTAATCGTTGCATCTTGGTAAACATGGCGTTACAAACATTCAATTGCCTTTGATTGAATGATGTCGCCAGTAGGAAGCCAATATGGCGAAAGTCCGGTCAAGTAAGAAGAGAAGAAAAAAAAAAAAGTAAAATAAAAAGAAGCGGTTTTATATGGAAGTTGGAAATACAGACTTTATTGTTTTTAGTTGCAATTGCTCTTTTACCAGTGAAAAGACTTTTTTTTCTGGGGAAAAATTAACCGATATGAAACGGACTTTTTTAATATCTCATACAAAATATAAGATATAAAGTAAACGACTTACTCCCCCTCCGCGATAACATCGATTCGTTGTTTCATTTCCTTTCAGAAATCCATCTAATCATTGATGGAGTATTGTGGCCAGTTGTAATAGGTTAAGATGACTCGAGTTGATATTTTTGTTGTAAAATTTCTCTTGCAGAAATTTATTATTTAAAGTTTTAATAAAGTAAGACATGTTATTTTCCTTCTTTTTAAAAAAGCATTTCTTTGGGAAATTTTATTCAGACACAAACCATACTAATTCTATTATCCAGTATGATTATACAGGAAGCAGTTTTTCATGTAGTGTTTTTTTCCCTGGTTCTTTTCCGCTTTGAAGATTTCTGTCGGTGTTCCATCTTAAAGTGAAGGCAGGGCTATTGTGCATCAATTAATCGCTGCCTTTCTTGTATTCTTCAACCCAGTCATGTTGTCTGACCACCTGGTGTTGCCAGATGGTCAGGAGGGTTGACCAGCAGGTGACGTTCTTTTTTTATCATCACAGTCAATATTTGATAGTAACATTGTTTGCACTTCTCACATATATATATATATATATACACATATAAATTTTTTTGCGATTATTATTATTATTCCATATTGAAAAGTTTAAGCTCTCAGATAACGACTAATGTTCTCACTCAATTAATTAAATCTGTATATCGCTATATTTACATGCAAATAACATTTTGATTGATTCCATATATCTCAGTGCAATGCACGGTGGGTTCTAGTCAATATTGCTATGGTAACGTCAAAATCCATTTTATAGTAAGTTTCGTGTATATAAATAATAATTGAATGTAATTTTTATCTGTGTATAGATCACTTTTTTGTTGGACTTTCGCAATCAGTCTCTCAACACTTGTCAAAGTAGACAGCTTAATACGTTGTCATTGGTTGAGAATACAAAATGAAAGTAAAAACGATAAAAAAAAATAATAAACACTACTGATAAGTTTAAGTAAAAATTTTAGAAATGTATTAAATTTGTTTTCCATGCTGGAAATAAGAATTTTTTTAAACGATTCGACTAAATGGACAATGATTACAGTGAATAAATTTATTATCTTCTGTGTACGGCGCTAAAAATACAAAAGCAGGACAACGAACCGCCAGTTATTTGCATACTTTATCGATTAACTGGCAGTAGCCACTGTTAATGTTGACAAGTTAAATGAATTACGCGATAATTTAAGAATTAATATTTTCTATTTCTTAAACAGGTAAGTGCTGCTAAGAAAGAAAGCCAAACTCCTCCCATTCGTAGCACTGGCGTAGAGGGTGACCGAAGTATCAATGGTAACCAATCTTATCCTGGTGAACCTGGATCTGACCCACAACACAGGGTAAGTAAAATGGAGATTAACTCGTTACGTATGAATTAACCGAACGGAAATTGAATTTCCTGTTTAACAAATTAATTAATAGCACAAAAGCAATTTTAAAAATTGATTTTTATAAAATATATATGTATATATATAAAATAGATCTGCTNTTGTCTGACCACCTGGTGTTGCCAGATGGTCAGGAGGGACACATTACATATTTTATTTATAAGGGTTATTTATGTTTTAAATATAGGAAAAAAACTGAAATGAAATTCATATACATTATTATATGCTTTTTTATTTTAAAAACAATTCAAAAAATTAGGTTGAATATATAATCTTATCTACAATGTTTTGAATAATGTAAATGCAATGCATTCTGAGGAACATTTCATATTCTTTTACAACCCAAAATTGTAATTTATGTCCCAAGATAATGTAACATTGGTTTTGGCCAACAACTGCATTTCACTGTCATCTTCAAAGAAATAATTCATGATGTTCAAGTTATTTTTTGTGTGTTTGATTCAGATTTATAGCAAGAATACTTTTATCAATGTTCAACTTTATTACTTGGATTTTGTATTCTAACTTCATTATTTGTCTTATAATATTCAAATTGCTTATTTTTAAAAAGTATCAAGTAAATAGTTTTTTTAAAAGGGACGTTAAATAAATCATTTAAATTTTAAAAAGTATCAGTGTTGTAAATGCGTATGAATACCATCAATGTAATAACTTCTATAACATTAAATTTCAAAAAAAATTATTAAATAATAATAATTTTTATAACAAAATACTAATATAGTAATTATTTGGGTTTAAACTCAAAACATTTTATACTTTTAATTTAAAAAGGAATAAAACTTAAATTTATTATCCTAAAATTTCCTTTTAGTAAAATAAACATTAATTCATAAGTAAATACTTAATTGATGACATTTATATCAATATTTTATTAAGCCAGAGTTTTAAATTAAATTTATTTTTGTTAATTATCTAAATTTAATGGAAGTAATTTCCCTAAAGACCTGAAAAATATCATTAGAGAAATTTGTATATTTGATATGATGATAATTTGATAATATAAAATATAATTATTATAATTATTATGTTAAAGGCACGCTTTATATAAATACTTTACATTAACTAAATAAATTTTTATGTAATGTTTTAAATAGAGTAAATATTTTACTTAGCTTTAATCATAAATTTCTTAGAAAAATACTTGCACGTTTCTTCGAAAACATTTCTTAAAAATTTAACAAATTCTTTTTATGTTTTAATATTGTAAAAAATATTGTTAATAACAGAGAAATAATTTATAGAGTACTAAGTTTTCAAATTACTACCATATAAATTCATATTTTGTTCATTACGTTTGATAAATCCTAAATTTTTATAGGATAACAGACAATGCTTAGAAAGATAATCTGGAAATAGCATCTTTTGAGGCCATATGTCGGGGGATCAAGCAGAGATAGTGTTAAGGTCATTCAGTCAAAAGGAATAGATTAAAAAAACATTAAGTAACAGATAGTAATTGGAAGAGTGAGAAAAATAGTATAAATAAATTTAGTTAGAATAATAAACAATAAAACTTCTTGTCTTTAATGACATTTTTAATCATAGTTCATTAATACAGAGTTAGGGATATATTAGCAACAAAGGATATTTTGTAAATAATAAATTTCATATTTAAACATAATTTACTTAATAAAAAAAAATCGTTATTAAATTATTCCGTAAGCATTAAAAGACGTTTCTAAATGAAACCTCGGACTGAAATTTTGTATTTTATAAACGGAAAATAAGAGACAGAGTAACCGAATAGCAGGAAAAAAATTAAAGAGTTTTCTCTAAATTATTTTACAGTATAAAGCTAACATTATACATATACATTACATTTTTAAGAAACTTGTAAGTTAGAAAATAGAAATTCCACTAGTTCGGACAAATTTTAAGTTTTTAAAACTTAAAAATTTAATATTTATTCATATAACTTACTAATCAAATTTGTAAAAACTGTACATTATAATAATTTAAATGTTGATATAAGAATGAGTCGTATATTTATTTATAAGCAGTAAGGATTCTAGATGATTTGAAATTCCATTACATATGAAATATTAAATAGTTTATGAAACATTAAATAAACTATTTTTTAAAATAATTTCTCAAATAAGTATAGCTTTCTCTTTTTTTTTTTAATATGCAATTTGAGGATTTTATTTATTTAAGAGTAATTTTTTGAATGTTTTCTGTAGATTGATTGATTGAAATTATTTCATTACTTTTAAAAAAATAGATTGATTTCCAATGATATAATTTTGTTTTTCCTTTGAAACTTATTAATTATTTGCTTATTTAATTTTGTCATGCTAACAAGAATAGAGAAGAAAGTTTTAAAAAGTAAAAGAAAAAATTCATACTTTTACTTGATGATAAAATATCAAATTTCAATCAATATTTTCTTAAAGGGACGATACATCATTGTTAGCATTTGAATAATTTTTTTTATGCTAGAATCAGAAAAAAAAATTATTAGTAAATTACATTATACAATATATATTAAATGATTATGTTATATACAAATATTTATTATATTTTTATATTATTAAGAGCATTTATAATAATAAATATGAGTAAATATAACACTATATTATGTTATTTTCTTGCAAAAATTAACTAGAAGGCACAATAAAATATTATTTCTGTCTCTGCACAGATAATTTTTTTACAGAAATGTTATGATCACTAAATATAACCCCTTAAGTAACATATATAACATGTGAGCTTGTCTTAATTTCTTAATCTTATCATAATTCTTTTATCCGAGTATATTTTCTGCATATCTTTTTAAATATTTGTTTACATAAGTTTATTAATTATTGGAAATTATATGTACAGGCTTTTATTGATGATTTTATAAAAATATTAATCTACTTCATGATTTAATTATAAAACAATCTAGTTTATCCTATACAAAAACTAAAAGATTTTATTTCGAAATCGTCGAAGAAAACATTATTACCGTTTTAAATTTAGGATTTAATATCTTAAAACAGTTCGATCATTTTTAAATGTTTTTGCTCGAAAAGAATTTCCACATTAACTGTTTTATAACTCGAATCTTAATGTTTATATATAAAACTTCATCTTACATTAAGAAATAATCAAATGTGCTTAAGGTTAAAGCTTTACTACGCCTAGAAACATAAATTGCATTCAACATAAAACATTTTAATTCGTTTAAATTATAAAATACGATGACATTTTTATAAATTCTATCATATGGACACCGTTCGGTTAAGAAAATTTTAGAGAGCAAAACTTAACTGGATAAATTTCAAATAGTTAACAAATGTAAAGAACAAACAATCCGAAATGAATTAAAACTTAAAAGTAAAGATTTTTCAATAGGTGTAAGAACAGATAAATCAGTCACCATCATTCATACAATAGAAATTCATATAATTATAGTAAGTGTTTTGAAGAAGAGGTCTTATTTGGCCTATATAATATACAATATTTCTAATAACTGTAGCTATTTCGATATCATAGAATATTGATTATTGCATTTGCCAAAGATTTTATAGAATTCCACAAAACAAAATACAGTATTTAAGACAGTCACACTAATATACTGGCCTTATGTAGTAGTAAACTTTTTTTTTTGGTCATTAAAACGTTTTATTTATTAGTATTTGTTGGTTTATTAACATCGATTAACACGATAACATCGACTGGCGTTTTTAAATTTAATAAATTAACTGAAAAACGTTAAAAAAATCATTTTCTCAAGTAAAAACATAATTTTAAAATTCTCTACAATCCATTACCAAAAATTTAATAAAAGAAAAATTTTAATTGATAAATTTTAATAAAATAAAATAGAAGGGGG